TCCTTCTCTCTGTACCCTTTGAGTACTGTTGTTGATCGACGCTCAGCCCCTCCTGCCAGGTCCCATGATGGGGCCCAATAGACATTAAGGTGTAGCCTGGTGCCATTTCTTCCATCGCAATCTGTTATCTGCTATCGTTGCCACCTTGCCCTTTAGCAGCCATTCTCTCTTGAATGTCTGCTTCCTTGTTGCTTGTCTTTCTGGTCTGTGTTGCGTAGAGGTTACTATTCTCCGCCATCTGCTCCTGATTTCCATCTCTGCCATGCTCAGCAGTAGAGACCGCATTTCTTCCTTTGCCACCTCTGATCCCTCGATTGTCAGGGTGCACCTTCGCTTCCATATTACCCACAGGCCCAATTTCCTGAGCAAGTGGAACCAGACTTCCCTGCTGCCCTTGATGTTGCTGGGAGTGTTANTATTATTTCTTGTATGAATAAGAGAAGGGGGAGATAAGGAGGAGGAGATTGTTGGGCGAAGAAGAAGAGCCTTGTCATTGTCTTTGCTGGTGTACATCTTCGTCTTCTTCTTTCTTACTTCTTCTTCTTCTTCTACTCCTCTCTCTCCTCTCAAGTTCATTCATTTCTTTCTGCAATTGGATGGCATTGTACTTTCCAGTGGATGTGTATCTCGAAATTGGCCAGGGTCATAACAAAAGAAAAAAAAAAGCCTCCTGCAGAGTAGTAGAGGGTAGCAGGGACTGTCTCTTTTCGAGGAGGGTTTGATATACATGGGCGGTGTGAAGAAGAGTGGTAAAGTGTTGAGGGCGTGAGCAGGGTTGCATACCCGCTGACCGCCGACCGTTTTGCAGCCTACCGGTAGGGCCTACCGGTTGGTGGTCTGCCAACCAGTCAGTAAACAGCGATCCACTGTTTTTTTTCAAAATGTGACTATCTGGCTGTTTTTTTTTTTTTTTTTTTTTTTTACGGTTTGAACAGGCCCTTATGGTCCTGGCTCCATATCCATTCTGGGGAGCGTCAGTCCGGTTCCTATTCCCCTGGCAAGTCAAAATTGAGTACATAAGATTTACCCACTCACACTTCCTTCCGTTTGGCCGAAGGAACCCTGACCAGCATTGATTGCTCCTATTAAGGAGGATTGACTGTCAGCTTGCCCAGGCCGCTCGTTCCTCTCAGGCTTCTAATCAGTGCCTGTCAAATAATTCCTTGCATAATGAGAACAGCGAAGGGGTATGCTACCAGCTATGTTGTTTGTCATTGTCCTTCTCTCTGTACCCTTTGAGTACTGTTGTTGATCGACGCTCAGCCCCTCCTGCCAGGTCCCATGATGGGGCCCAATAGACATTAAGGTGTAGCCTGGTGCCATTTCTTCCATCGCAATCTGTTATCTGCTATCGTTGCCACCTTGCCCTTTAGCAGCCATTCTCTCTTGAATGTCTGCTTCCTTGTTGCTTGTCTTTCTGGTCTGTGTTGCGTAGAGGTTACTATTCTCCGCCATCTGCTCCTGATTTCCATCTCTGCCATGCTCAGCAGTAGAGACCGCATTTCTTCCTTTGCCACCTCTGATCCCTCGATTGTCAGGGTGCACCTTCGCTTCCATATTACCCACAGGCCCAATTTCCTGAGCAAGTGGAACCAGACTTCCCTGCTGCCCTTGATGTTGCTGGGAGTGTTAGATAGCAGTAAGATGGAGAGGGTAGGGATGTTGGGGGGGGGCGTTGAGAACAGGATCGACCATAGCTCCCGGATCTTCTTCCAGATCCATGTAGCTTCTGGACAGTGTAGGAGGCAGTGGGGGATGTCCTCGGGTGAGTTGTTCTTGCACATTGAGCAACGTTCCGAGCTCTCCGGGTCGGAATGCTTCCTTCTTGCATGTAGCCATTGGTTGACGGGAAGGGCTGTATGTGCTATCAGCCATTGCATGCTGCGTATGCGGTTTGGGCGGATGCTAAGGTACTTGGTCCAAGGGATGGTGATAGGGGTCGCAGGGTCGAGGTGAAGGATGGTTCTCCACCTCTTCGCCAGCCTTGGGTTCGGGTCAGTGGTTTTTAGACCGAGGTTATAGCCACACTTTACGTCGTATTCCGTTATCGCCCTTGGTTTCCCGTTGGTGCCCAGGTCCCATACCCACTCCTTCGGGTCGAATTCTAGGTTCTCGATGCTCAGTTCCGGCTGGAATATGAGCCAGGGTATCCTGTGGGAGACTCTTACCTTCCTTAGCAAGAAGGTTTCAATTTGTTCATGCTGCGGCGCTTTGTTTAGGGCCTCTATTTCGTATAGGTTGTGTCTGGCGATGGGGTAGGAAATGAAGTTGGCCTGGTAGTTAGTTGGGTGCGGTTTGGACATGAACCGGTAGGCTCTTGTTGGCGGGAACTGTGTGGTGAGTAATCCCCAGTCGCCTGGTTTCCATGTGTGTCTCTTTTAGGAGGGTCGTCCATGAGGGGGGGATGCTGTGGAGAATTTCCGATAGGTTGCTGGACAGCGAGTGACAACCCTTTAGGGTGGTGCGCAGGTTCTGTTCGTTGAGCCACTCTTGTCGGTCTTCGGACCACGGATGTTTGATCTGCCATACCCCTCGTTCTGCCCATGAGAGCCATCTGCGGTCTTTGGGGCGGAGGGTCCAGGGTTCTCCCTCTGTGTCTTTTATCCAAGGATTGCAGAACAGGGGCTGTCTTAGGACTTCCTCTTTGTTGCGTGGAGCGCCTTTCTTTTCTGGTATCAGTCGGCGCCAGGCTTTCAGGATTGGTGACCAGTAGGGGTTGGTTGTGGTGGAGGGATGACAGGGTGTTGTGGGGTGAGTTCTCCTTGTTGACCTCCCTGATTTGATTGCCCATTCCTTTGCCATGATCCAGAATAAGCCCCTCATGTTCTGTGGGGAAGCTACCGGTGCCAGGTTCCTTATGCTGTCGAGCACCATCTTGGTCCACGAGAGGGCCTGCTTTGTTAGGATTTTGATAACCCATTTTTCGGATCGATGATGCCTAGTCCTCCTTCGTGTGGTTTCCTGATGACGACTTGCCATGCTACTTCATTTAGGCATGTGGTTCTGCTGGGGTCTCCGGTCCACAAGTAGCATCTGGCTCTCGCTTTCAGATTTTTCAGATCGTCATCGGGCGGGGACCATATGGAGGCCATGTACCACAGGGTTGAAAACACGGCCGCGTTGATGATCAGCGCTCTCCCTAGCAGGGAGGCCTGGGCTTTCCTACAGGGGGCTAGACGAGTTATCGCTCTGGCAATCAAGGTCTCCCCCATCCCTTGCCAAATGCCTGTGACTATCTGGCTGTTAAAAAAAAAAGAAAAGAAAAAAAGAAAGGGATTTAAAGTTTTTAAACTCTTTTATTATACTCCACCGTGTTTGCTACAGAGGTGAAACTGTTTTATTGTTGGATTGTCTCAGCTCAAGGGCCTTTGCATCTAGTGCACACACTGGCACACTGGCACACACCCACACACCCACACACACACACACACACACACACACGCACACACACACTTCCCTTTTACGCTGCCTCCTGAAAAAGCGTGCAAGTGGGCCGTGAAGGCACACGGGGATGTGGGCAGCTGCCGCTCAACCACAATCAACGTGGGCAGCCTTGTGCGTAAGAGGCACTTTAAAAGGGGAGCTGCAAGAACAATGAAAGGGGTACCCCAAGGACAACCAAAAAACTGTCTAATTATAAAATTGCCTTAATATGTTGGACATCTCAAATGCTCTCGTTGTCTGCAATAGGACAAAGACTGCTTTGATTCTGAATCTATTCACCTGGGTGGAATTACGACTGTTGTGGGGAAAATCTAAAACACACACACACACACACACACACACACACTCTGTAGAGGTGGCCACTTACGATGCTCCTCAAATCTTATGCAACCCACACACTGACTGGCCTCATGTGCCATTCTAGAGTGCCCTGCCCCAGCGGTCACTACTTAGAACCCTGTCAGAACTCCACGTCCCATTTCCTTCATCCCTCCTCTTGTGCATGATAGTAATAGATATGGATGAGCATCATTATGTGAACAGACAAAATGTAAGTTGAAGATCTGACAATAAATGAACAGGAATATACCTCCGCCTTTGCTTTGCCTCCTTTCATAGTGCGCAAGTGGGCCGTTATGGCACACAGGGATGTGGGCAGCTCGCTGTCAACCACAATCAACGTGGCAAGCCTTGTGCATGAGAGGCACGGTAAAGGGGGAGCTGCAAGAACAAATGAAAGGGGTACCTCGAAGAAAGAAAATGTGAACACATTGAAGAAAGGGGCTTACAAACTTTATGTGCTTCTATTGTATTTTATGTTGCTTGCTATAGAGGTGAAACTGTTTCATTGTTGGGTTGTCTGAACTCAAGGGCTTTTGTTATCTGTAATAGGATTGAATTATTTGAATATACATTGATTTTGGATATGCTCTCTGGGTGGAATAGGGGCTGTTGTGGTGAAAATTACCCCCCCCCCTCCACACACACACACACGCACACACACGCAGGCACACGCACACACACACACACACACACACACACGCACACACGCGCGCGCGCGCGCACACACACACACACACACACACACACACACAGAGAGAGAGAGAGAGAGAGAGAGAGAGAGAGAGAGAGAGAGAGAGAGAGAGAGAGAGAGAGAGAGAGAGAGAGAGAGAGAGAGAGAGAGAGAGAGAGAGAGAGAGATGCTTCTTGTTGTTGATGGCGGCTTTGGCCACAAACCCTCTGTGTACATCAATTCAAGTCGTAAATAAGTTCCAAGTGTACTCATATCCTGTGGATCCTACTGGCTTGGTGTGGATCTTGAGTGTGATCCGTGCATAAGGTTTCAGGCAGTAATGGCGAGAAAGCAAAATCTTTTTCAGTAAAGGCAGAACCTTTCCAGTATGTAGTATTTGCCGTTTTCTCTTATGCTTTTTCCTTGTCGTTCTATTAAATGGCCGAGGCCATCCGCAGCAGAATAGAAGCTTAAACTTCATGCCAGGACAAGGCATGGCACAATATGCAGGTGTCTGTGGGACTGTGTTGCTCTTCATGATTGGGTTTATAACTTCATAATAGTTCATATGTATTAACTCTTGAATTCTGGGCTTCAAATTCGTGTTTTGTTTTTGGCAACAGCGGTATCCATCATGGAGGGAGGTCATGGCATCCTTGTCGTGGATGGGGAGGTGCAGGTGTCATTCCTAACCAACCGGTATCCTCGCAAGTGCCCATCTCCACCTCCCAATCCTCCACCATCGCCACCAAGCTCGATTCCACCCCCTGCTCCAGAGAGCCCAGCTGTTGGGGGTAGGCGTAGACTCCTTGCTGCTCCTTTTAATGGCTCGCAGCATCTGAGAGCAGGAAATGTTTTAGCAGGGCCGTCCGGTGCTGACCGAATTTACAGTGTAATGTCAGGTGGAGGAGACTCAAAGTTGAATGGAGGTTTTGAGTTGCGTGCTGTGGCCAGAGGGCTGCAGTATGATGGGATGTGGGGTACATTGACGTTGGGAAACAGTACAGGGCAGCAACAAGGGGATAGGCTGATGGAGTTAACATGGGACATGCTTGGGATAGAGCGGGAGGAGTATTCAGACGTGGCAGCCAGACTGCAGGATGATGGGTTCATGCCTGATTCAAACATGACAAACATGGAGTGTTGCGATTTCAAGATTGGGGTGGCGGTATGGAATCCGATCTATTTTCCAGGCTTTAAAGGTCTGGTTGATGAGGTAGCTGTGTGGAACAAACCATTGAATCCGGAGGTAATTAGGGCAGCTATGTTCCACATGCCAGAGTCATTACCAACACGAGGTGTGAGGGCACCAGAAGGAGCACAACTGGATTACACAGCAGGGCGAGTACTATATGCCAGGTTCAATAATCCGTGCTTGGAGCGGTGGGTGGTGCCTGACAAGGCAGGGTACACTGCAGGTGGGTGGGTTCAGGATTGGAAGGAAGCCCCACCTCTTCCCCCTTCACCGTACTCGCCCCCTCCCCTTCCTCCCCCCACCACTCCCCCCCCACCTTATTGGTTTGACTGGCCCCTTCTCTTCCTTACAACAGACAACCAGAGCTTGACCTTGAACTCTGCTCTTCCTAGTTCCCCTCCCCCTCTGAGCCCTCCCCCTCTGATAACAGAGCTTGACGATCTTCCTGAAGGTGTGATCATCTACCCGAAGGTTGTGGATATGGCAAATGACAATGTGCGTATCTTTAGTTTCCCCATTAAGTCCAGATATGTGTTTACAGGGGTGCCTTGGGCACCCCCATCTGTTCTTGAAGTGGACCCACCCACGGTGCCTATTGATGGTAAGGTGAAAGTGACAATGATTGGGGTGGGATTTGCGAGGAGTCCTTTCTTAAAATGCTCCTTCATGGATGCGGAGATCCCTCTTGTCACAACAGTGGATGGAGGGGATGTCAACCCCAAGATCCGTGCAGCCACCATCAACAGCGATGATCATCACATGGACCATCGCTACCGGAATACTGGGATTCCTGTAGCCGGCTCAGGACCAACGGTGGCTCCAGGGCTGGAGGGTTCCCAAGCAGGCAACAGAGTGTGGAAAATGGGAGGAAGTGGGCGCACTCGCTGGGCCCGAAAGTGGGGTACAGGAGGGATCTGGTATGAGAGAAGTATCCCTGGTGCCAGCAACGCTGTCTCTGACCCCTCATGGGCATCAGGTGTTCGATCACGAGCAACAGCTACAATCGTCCCAGCTGAGCTGGACTTGGATCAAGATGCTGTGCTGGATGCAATGCGTACCATCTTCTCCAGGAATCCTTACACAAAAATCAATGAGTCCTATAGCTTTGGCTGGTATGACCGTGTGGTTTGTGAAGCGCCTCCTTCACCCTACCCAACAGATCAAATAGCTGCTGGTGTCTCTAACAACGCTGGGCTATCACAGTCCGTTCCCTCACCACGGATCAGTTACATGGAGATGGCCATGCTGTTTGACAGAAAACCCAACTCTGCCATTGCCACTATGGTCAGCCTGATGGAGCCTCCCAAGAAGACAAAAAAGGTGATAATAGAGGGTGGAGGTGAGGAGTCAGAGTCGAGTGATAGTGAGGCAGGGGGGTATATGGAAGTTACAATTGCAGCGTGGGTGATGCCTACTGTGCAGATGGTTCTTCCCCCTGCCTCAAGTCCGGGTGAGGCAATGGCTGCTCCTCCCACAGGCACTGCTTCAGTCCTGGGCGCTCAGACAGCCATCATGTTGACATCACAGAATGGGACCACAACCAAGCTTGTGGTTTTCCAGGACGGACAGTTTCAGTTCCATGATGGTGGATCCCGCCACATGGTCCAGAACAGTAGCAATGTGGGGCAATGGCACTATGTTGCCATCTCAAGTGCTGCAGCATGGACTATGTTCTTCTTGGATGGGGAGGTAGTGTGGGAAGGAGACAGAGTTGAAGGAAGAGGGTACGACACTGAGACAGGTTTATGGACAGGCAAGAACGGGGAGCCACTCCTGCTTGTAGGACAATATTTCAGAGGGTACGTGGACGAGGTTCGAGTATGGAACGAAGCCCTTTCCGATAGGCGTCTCAAGAAGAGCATGTTCACCAGGCTTGATCCAGAGACCGATGAGTCACTTGTGGGGTATTTCAGGTTCAACCAAGATCCAATAGACTCAACAGGCAAGAACCCACAAGCTGATCTGCCATTTGGGATAAACAGCCCTAAATATGCCTTTGTAGCAGCACCGTGGGAACCAGCTAGCATCCGGTTGATAAATGGTGTGGATGTCCGAGCTGCCATGGGCGTTGGAGGGAATAAAACAACTCCTGGAGGAACCAGTGGTCTTCTGCAAGGTCCAGCTTTCCGCTCTCCGATGAAGGGAGGGGAGCTGATCACTGTAATTGGGTTCAACTTCGCTCCAAGCCAGTGGCTGTCGTGCAGCTGGGGTGTCGAGGAGGACCTTTATGTGCCCCCAAAGAGAGATAGTACCAGCAACCCAGAGCCAGGTCGACCCTCTGGGTGGACTCCCTGGTATAACTTCTCTCTCTGCTCCAGTGGGATTGCCATTGCAAGTGGTGGTAGCAAAGACTTTGGTGCTCGATCAATCTATGTGGGGCCATCTCTGAGATCTATCTACACAGGATCACAAACAATCTCTGGTCCATTCTCAGATTTGCCTCCGACAAGCCCATATGTTGATGACAAGACGATGGTCTGCAAGACCCCAAGTATGGAGGGGCCCACCGTCCTCTCCTTTGGGATATCCAACAAACCCACAGTCAATCCGGTGCCTTTTGAGTTTACAGAAATGGCTCTCGAGTGTGATGGCATCAGAGAATTCCTGATAGCAGATAGGGTCACTCCTCAATTTGGTTATTATGCAGAACGCACTGGAACCGCCTCCTCTTCTTCAGGATATGCTTTTGGTGCGTGGGTCCTCCCTTATAGGGCCCCATTCAACAGGACAATGCCAGCTCCAGGGCCTGCACCTGCAGCACCTTTTCCTCCCTCAGCTCCACCACCTCCTGACTACCTACCTGATCTTGGTGGTCGTCGAAGAAGACTTTTGTCATCTTCTCCTTCTCCATCTTTGTTGTCTTCTTCTCCCTCTTCTTCTCCCTCTTCTTCTCCCTCTTCTTCTCCCTTTTCTTCTCCCTCTTCTTCTCCCTCTTTTTCTCCTTATTCTTCTCCTTCTTCTTCCCCTTCTTCTTTTTCTTCCTTTCCTTCCTTGTTTTCTGTTTCTTCTTCAGATGCTTCATTGGTGTCTCCCGTTTCTTCTCGACATGTGAAAAAGATGGATACCACTGCTCCAAGTCCTTCTCCTTCTCCTTCTCCATCTCCATCTCCCTCACCATCTCCTTCTCCTTCTTCTTCTCTCTCTTCTTCTGCTCCTGTGTCGTCTTCCCATCCTTCGTCTCCTCCTGCGGGGATTCGTCATCACTTTGCGCAACGCAAGAGCAGAGATGAGAATGCATTGTCGAGTGAAACTGAGGGTCAGGTCCATTCAACTCGAGGAAACTTTCGATATGCTCTGGATGCAGGGGGCTGGGCAGACGATGCTGATTTCTCAGACTTCGCGACAGAAGAAGCTGCAGCAATAGCATCGTGGGTGGATTCACCGGTGATGGACACGGAGCTTGAAAACGCAGGGATTCAACAACCTGGATGGACAACCCGGAGGCCCAGAATACCCGGAGAGAGAGCTGAGGTGTCAGTCCTGGCATTTGAGTCAACGAAGATAGGACGAAAGAACACTGGGCTCATCATGTACAATGGTATTCGGTTCTTCTATTACGATGACTGCATTCAAGATGTGGTTGAGGATGAAAGCACCTTCAGTAGGGAAGCAGGATGGCCGAAGGCAAATCGACGGGAAACAGGTCTCTTCGGAGAACAGAATGAGAGCACGTATGCCAATGTCACAAAAGCCCCACCAGGACAATGGCATTATGTCTTTGTCAGCATAGCACCTAGTGGTGACGGGTTCTTGTTTGTGGATGGTGAGGTCGCAGCCAGGTTTACAACCACATGTCGTCCAGATCCTGTTGGCCGTTTCACCATCTGTGCAGATTTCGCAAATGCAAACCCGCTTTTGCCTGGCGATTTCTTCTATGGCCGCATCGATGAGGTACGCGTGTTTGCTCGCTACTTGACGCTTGCAGAGGTGAGGGGCCAAATGTTCAGTACCCTCAAGGGCCATGAAGAAGGACTGGTGACTTATTACAAGTTCAGTGAGTGGCTCCCACTGAATAGAGGAGGTATGAGTAGGATTGAAGACATGTCTGGCCATGGAGCTGATGCCCTTAGGATTTGGCGGAGTGGAGGAGGGCCAGTTCTTGTGTTATCCACAGCTCCTTGGGCAGCTGCACATGTCCTCTCAGTGGACCCTCCACTGGGATCGTTGACAGGGGAAACAGATGTGACTGTTGTGGGTGCGAACTTTGCACCCAGCAAATGGCTAGGTGCATCGTTCGGACCAAACGGTTCAATTTCGCTGGCTGTGGTGCTGCCAAACTACGATGATGGGATATTTGTTGCCAAGGCATCACGAGGGAGGTGTTCCGCAGCCGCTTATGTGAGAGCTACCAATGGAGGAGGAGTTTTTGGAAGAACCACCATTGATGGGAAGTTCACGTATGGCTCACAACTTAGTTCCTTGGCACATCAGCTGATGGCTCTCTACACATTGGAGGAAGTGGTCCCACACAATATAACATCGCTCAACGCAACAATTAGTGCCACTGTGACAGTGGAGGCAAGCTCAACAGCTGTTACTTCCCTGCCCTCTTCCTTGGAGTCTGGCAATTCCACGGAGCTTCTCCAAGAGCAAGATGAGCCACTGCAAGAGCAGGTGACACGGCCAAGCCAACAGGAGCACTACTATGAGTTAGTTGAAAATGTTGGCAATCATATTGGGCATGCAAACATAAGCAAGGATGACAGGACTAGTCCGAGATGGCGATGTGGATTCATTCCTGACCGAGATGGCCTGTTATCAGCTGCATTCCTTGTCAGTTGGGGTTTTGATCCTGATGATGAAGACCATCCTGATCAGGATGACCATGCCACCGTCATGGGTGGTGCTTCCCATGATCGTTGTATGATTACTTTGCCCCCTCCTGTGACTTATCTTCCTCAAGATGACGTGTTCACAGTCAGCTTGTACATTTTCCTGTTTGAAGATCCTCCCCGATGGGCTCGCCTTGTCCCTGATGCAGTCAGAAAGCTGTCTGGTGCCTGGAAGTTGTTGACCATGACCTCCAATGGGCCTAAGTTTAGAGTGTACATAAACTCCGTGAGAGTGAGAGACAGGATAACTGTGGAATTCTTTGCAAAAGCCATTCGGGAGTTTGTCGAGACTGGGGAGCTGATGAGGGGATTGTTTGTAGGGGTTGATGATGTGTGGGTCTATTCACGACCTTTGGATAGTTGCGAAGTATCTGGAAGGTATTTCACAAACGAGTTTGCCATTGATCTGGCAAAAAAGCGGGATGGATGGGCTCGGCCATTTCTGGGTATACCAAGAGTGGAGGGTGTGGACGAGGTAGGGCCCTATGCAAGCAATGGCAGTGAGGGATACAGTGTCACAGTGGAGGCTTGGATCTACCCTCATGAGACCTACGGTCAACAGACGATCTTAGGGTTCCCATTAGATGGCACAGTGGATGAGCCAGGTGTGCCAGGAGGAACATCTATGGCCTTTGGACTAGATCGTGACCGTTTAACTTTGGTGGTATATGATGGTAAGTGCACCTGGCAAGGCTGTCCCTCAAGATTCAGCTACAGGGAGCTAGCATCCTCTCAAGCACGCGTTGTGGCTGGGCAGTGGAGCCATGTTGCTGCAACCTATACGGGCAACACGGCCTTCTTGTATGTGAATGGCATTTTGACCGACCTGCAGGATTGGGGCCAACGGTCTGGCGTGAGGACAAGCAAGCCATCAGTATGGTACCTGGGTGGAGAGAACTGGCCAGGAATGGACCCAATTTATGAGGAGCCGCATCATTTGCCTTCGGACGCTAGACCATTCCGAGGGATTGTTTACAATCTTGCAGTATACAAGGGGACACTGGGACCTTATGCAGGATGGATCATTCCTTACAAAGTCAGAGGTTCGAGCGACGGAAGAGGGTTTGTGCTCCCGTTTGAAGTCAAACACCATGCTGAGTGTCCCATTCGAGGACCTCCTGAGCCTGATGCCAGGACACTTACCCATTACTGGCGCTTGAAGGCTGGGTTTGGAGACAACGATAGTGATTGGCGGACATATGTGGCACAGCCTGGCGTTCGATTGGGTCATTTTGTGATGCCGGAATGGCTTTCCCCACAGCTGCCTCTCATAGACATTGGTGCTCTTTGGGTCAATGTGTCGTATGATGGACCGACATATGGTCCAGCTGTTACAGTGTATGGATCGGCACACAAACGTCTTGAGTCTGGTATTGGCGGCGAGTTTGTAATCACTGCACGGAATCGGTGTCGAAAAAAGAGGCTCGCTGGCGGAGACCACTTTGAAGTGAAACTGTACGCCAGTGCTAGTGAACTTACACCGGTCCTGGTGGGTCAGGTGCGGGACATGGGAGATGGAACATACAGGGTGACCATTGATTTTCGGAATCGGCGTACATCAAAGACCACTCCTCTCTGTGGGAAATTGAGAACAGAGATATCATTGAATGGTGCCATCATCAGACAACTTACTGTGGAAACTATAATAGAACCTGGTCCAGCTTCTTGGCATACAACCGGTCCACTGAATGATCCAACACAATTTGTGGAGTGCAACGGTGCTCCGAACGTGATCACCATCCAGGCCAGGGACAGGCATGGGTGCCCCAGAATCACTGGAGGTGACCGCATTGTCGTCGGATTCTCTGGCCCTGCCAAAGTTCCTCACACTATCAAGGACAAACTCAATGGCCTGTATGAGCTGCACTATGTAGCCCCAATTTGGGGTCAATACCGACTAACCGGGTGGCTTGTTCAGTGGGATGGCAAGCGTTTTCCTATCCAGCACCTAACTAATTTATGTCTACATGTCTGCAGGAGCTATGGTCTCGAGTTCAAGGGTTTCAGCTTAGTTGAGGTTAATTGTGTGGAACCAACAGGGGGACCACTTTGTCCTTCCAATTACCCGAAACGGAATACCATTTGCTTCCCAAGGCCTAAGGAAGGAGAGAAAGATTGGGCTGGTCAGGTCTATGGAGGCCCTGGATTGACCCTCCCACCATCAGCATCCAGACACAATGCAAGCAAGTTGAAATCAACCAGGGCAAACAGCATGTACTTGCCTTCTAATGCCAGCATGCCCATTTCTGCTCCCGTTGGTGCACCAGGCCGACGTGCCGTCTCTCCTCCAACTTGGCCCAACTTCGACACAGCGCGTTACCTCTCTCTGCCAGTGCACACCAAAGGGCTGGCCATGCAGGCGTGGATACTTCCAAAGCCTTTCAATGACAACAGGGAGACGGAAATGATGTACAATTCGTCTGCAGATTATCCTCCTCCTAGCCGCTGGATCTTCATGAAAGGCCCCCCTTACAGCACCCTTGACACGGTTCGTGGCTGGGAACTCAAGCTTGACAGGAATCTCACCAAACTCACGGCCTCTGTGTACTGTGGAGCTGGACTTCTTCGCCAAGTGACAGGAAATGTTAGTCAACCTCCTGACGGTCAATGGAACTGGATGCATGTGGCAGCATCGTATGCTGCAAACGGCCGATCTTTCTCTTTATACATCAATGGGATCCGTATTGCTAGGAAGTTGTGGCGAGACGAGCCAAGGATGGCTTCTCGTTTTGACTATTATCATCCCATGGACATAGGGTGGGGATTTGAAGGTAAGATTGATGAGCCAATCATATGGAGAACAGCACGAACAGCCAAGCAGATTAGAGCTTCAATGCGTTGCCCAGTTCCATGGTCTGAGTCAGGGATGAACAAGATAGCGTTCTATTCCACATTTGGAGAAGGATATGGCCTGACTGTGCAAGGATGGGGTCATAATTGCCGGCCAGGAACCGGTAGAGGACACTGTCTGGTGGGCATCATGGATCCTGTGGCTTCAGGATCTCTCTCTGCGGAACCATGTGGTGTGATTAATCCAGATTTTGCTGCGGGGGTGGATGGTGCTGCAGCCTATGGCAAAGTGGGTATTCCTGATGTTAACATGTTCCAGTCAGATGTAGTCCCTCCGCTGAAGGCTATATCACATGTACGCAGTAACTTTACAGTCTTTGCCATTGATGCATGTGGATTTGGGTACCAAGGGGATCAAGATCTGAAGATCATGCCTTATCTGCAAACCGTTAATGATGCATGGTTTAACCAGGTCCACGACCCATTTGAATATCCACTGCATGCAGTGGGAGGTGGACAACCTCAAGGCTTGTGCAAGCGCCCTCTCGATGTCTGCTTAATGGAAGAGGATCCGGAGCCATATGACCCTATGATAGGACCCGCTGGACGTCCATCAAGTGGCTGGAGGTGTGACTTCGAGGGATCACCAGGACGTTACTACTTATATGCGGAAGTGGAGCCAACTGGTGTTGAGGGGAGGGTTCCCTTCCGAGCATCAGACTCTCTCCGCCGGGTCAATGTGACGATCAAACCCGGTGTGCCAGTATATTTTATGGCACGAGGCCCTGGACTCCGCCAAGCAGCTGTGGGTGTGCCAGCATGGTTTGAGGTAACAGTTCATGATGCACATGGTGGTCTCATTCCTGGAGAGGAAGAAGGAGGCATAGACCTTGCATCCAAGATAAGGTCATCGTACACTATCAATCATCTAGAAGTGGCCCTTTTTGTGGAGAGCAGGGTGTTCAGGAGTCGATTCCGACGACGGCGCATCAGTGGGGAGGATGCTGGAGATGGATTCCGAAGTGGGACCTACAGGGTGGTATATGTCCCTCAGGTCCCAGGGAAGTACTCTATTGTCATTGAGACCAACCCTCAGCCTTTTGTGGTTAGAGCTGTCGTTCGTTCAAATGCATCTCTCCCGTTGCTCCTGGAAGGAGGGCAAGCCCCCCTTCCTCTTTGGCGTTTTGCTCACTCTGGTGTGCTGCACAATGGAGACCTCTATGTCTTCGGTGGGGCTCGGCAGGACAAGGCTTACCTTAATGATGTGTGGGCTCTTCGAGGGGTGGAAGATGTTTCCCCCAAATCGTGGACAGAGCACAGACATTGGACTCGTGATCCCTCCTCCGCTGCAGGTGATCCTAATGTGGAGAACGCAAATGTGACTCACAGACCTTGGCCTATTCTCGCCTACATGAAGCCAATAGAGGTGAAAATGATAATGGCACAAAGTGAATCTAACAAGGAGAAGGGGCGGGAGTTTTCACCATTCCTAGTAGACGGCCGAGAGGGATACACAGTGCAGGTTGTTGTGGACACAAAAGAGCTTGTTTACGAAGGTATGCTAGGGCCTGAGTGTGCAGACGTGGCCTTCACTGCTGCTAACAATGCCTATCTGCTGGGTTTCTACATGGATGCCTACCCTGGCTGTGATACCCCTTCAACTTTGTTCTGGGTTCACGTACCAGCTGAAGAATTCCACATGCCCGCGAACTCCTCAATGGACTCACCAGCAATTGCAACAGCCACCATTGAGATGTATTATGGAAATGCTTATGTCCGTAGAGGTCATTCTCACCCACGAGCACATGGTTTGTTTGCGTTGTATGAGGGCTTTGAGGAACTCGGAAAAACTGCTTCCAGGCTTGCATGGATCAGCAAGCATCCCATTTATGCCAAAGAGCATCTACATGGACTGCAGTTCGTTCAGGAACAAAGGCTTTTGGCTATGATGATGATGCCATTTGCAAGGACGGGCAAAGACAATTCCACAGAAACAAAGCACCAGGTCCTCAACAGCCATAATGATGTGAGCCTGAAAAAGGATGTCATTGACGAAGCCCTGGATCTGGCCAGTCTGACGAAGCGGCTATCTTCAACATCATGGACATGGCTGGATGTTGTTCGAGCAATCACTACGATTGCTGGCAGCCGGAACAAGCGTGGTGGCAGCAGAGAGCTTTTAGAGATAGCTTCTGTGAGGAAGCATGCAGCGGCACTGACAAGTGACACGTTTGATGAGGAGGGGAGTACAGTGATAGGTGGTATTGCTGGTTTGACTGCATCTTCTCACCTCAACATGTTGGTTGACCACACGTCAGCAGGCAGAAAAGCATCAACCTCACTGGAGTCTCTCCTCTCTTCTTCGCGCTCCCTTGCGTCATCCAGTGATACTAGTGATTCACCAAGCATAGGACCATTCCGGTTTGGTCCTCACTGTGGGAGTGGTGGTCGAATCAATCCTTTGTCCTTTGGACTGTCAGATGAATTGACATATGATGGGATGTTTGCGCTCAAGGCCCACAGAGGAAGCCCAGGTGTTGTGGAGGCTCTCACACATGGCCAGAAACCTCTCAAGCATTTCATCTTACGGGCTTGGTTCTATGATTCTGATTCTGAGAACTCCTCCCAATACATCAGCCCAGACTTTGGTGAATGCCCAACCGTTGAGGGGAGTGGTAAGGTGCTTCTGCCCGATGCTGGGGGGCCACCTATGGCCCGATCCACTGCCCTAGGAGTGTACACTCCTTCGCACCTGGCCGAGTATGTGGTCGCATCTCCATGGGTTTCTACAGGCTATGGAAGAACAGCAAACTGGCATCTCTTGGAGATCAGAAGTAACCCTGAGGAGGGCATGAAGGCACTGGTTGATGGACTAGTACTCAAGACAATACCACACGGCATCAAATTAAGGAAAGTTCAAATTACCAATGGCTTTGGGAATATGGATGAGCTGCAGGGATGGCTAGCACTGATGGTACCATCTGCTGCATACTGGGATGAGATTATGGTCGTAATCTGGAACCACCACATTCCAGCTGCCATGGCACCATTGTTGAGCGATAAAAAGGATATACCGGTTTCCTGGGCAAAGGGAAGGAAATGGGAGAAGGTTGCTGTCCCAGAAACGGTGGGTGCATGGGGCTCCCCACAAGCAGGTGCAGGGAGAACAGCACCTCCCCCTCCAAGAGCTGGCCATTCAGCTGTGGTACACAATGGAGTAATGCTCATCTTTGGTGGCGAGAGGAGCACCTACACATTCAATGACATCTGGGCCTTTGACCTCCAAACCACGGAGTGGCAGTACATCAGCCCTCAAGTTGGTACTGTGCCCCTATCAGCTGACCCATCAACGCCATTAGGCATGCCAGCTCCTCGCTATGATCATTGTGCGATAATTACCCCAGATGGACAGATGATGGTTTATGGAGGACGATCCGGTGCCCATGTCTTTGATGACATGTGGTCTTACCACATTGCCAGTAACACATGGACGAAGCTGGAACTCTCTGGTGTTCCACGACATGTGGAGATTAATGAGGGCACAGGATCAGGTATGGTGGTGGAGAGTGTAGAGTTGGCAGCTGCAGCACGAAGGATTACAGTGGAGGGAGATGGGCTGGCATGGACAAGCAGCAACAGTCGAGACGAGGATGAGGGTTGGGAGAGTCCACTGGGGCGGCGGTTTGGTGCAACCATGGTGCTCATTGGAGATCATGCATATGTTCTTGGAGGATTCAGAGGTGGATCCTTCTCCACTGATTTCCGTAAGGTTGATATACACACAGGGAGGGTGGAGTGGCTCCCTGATGTGCCATTTGAAGGGAGGTACGGGCATTGTGGATTCACCGATGGTAAAGATCTGTTCGTGGTAGGTGGTACGTCGATGGATACAATCTATGGAGAGCTCTGGAAATATGACATTGGTAAGTCCACTTTCCTGCTAACCCAGTTCTGTTGGCCTCATGTATACTCCTTCCATTCCTTACCCTTTTTATTCTTCCAAGGACCCCTTAGGCAATCATCCCTTCTATTCTGGGGCCGTCACACTGATCCGTTGGAAGCAACCTCCGGTAGGTCATTCACATGGACATGCTTGATATTACTGCTCATCCCTTTCATGGAAGGGAGTAACAGAGACATATGGATGGTCAGGCAGTTGGCCGCAGTTAGGTGGGTGGGTGAGAACGGTCAGTCGACCACTAGGTCTGTTGGTTAAGCGGTTGGTGAGTTGGCTGGTCTGTCAGTCGGGTAAGCATGCAGTTGGGCAGGTTACAGGCTCCAGTCGCCCAGTAGCTCGGTTGCTGGCTCACTTGGGCTGCTCCCACGGTCTCATGGTCTATCCATCTGTGTCTGTCTCTCTGTCCATTTACCTAATCCATCTACCCACCCATCCATCCCTCCGTCCACCCACAGCTCCATCCGCCCATCCGTCTGACCTTCCCTTTATCCATTCAGTAGTCCATCCATCCTTCCATCCACCCATCCACCCATCCACCCATCCACCCATCCACCCACCCACCCACCGGCCCCCTACTGACCTGCCTTCTATTCAGCCATCCATCCATCCACGTACCCACCTGCTCACCTGCCTGCACAAACCTTCAGCCACCCACGATTTACCTATCCTTCTCCGTTCATCTGTTCATCCATCTGTCCATCCCTCCATCCCTCCATCCCTCCCTCCCTCCCTCCATCCCTCCATCTATCCATGCACCCTGTCCATCTGCCCGCCCACTAATCCATCCACCCACTCACACCCAGTCCCCAAACTAATCAATCTCCATCCAACCCATCACCATCCCATCCATCCTCATTGCATCCATGTGTTTTGCCTCCATCCTTATTCAGCAACATATGTCTACAAATCTATGATCGCCCACTGATGCATCCATCTATTTTCATCTGAATCCATATGTCCATCTGTCCGTTTTCCCATCCATCCATCAATCCACCCACCCCACCGACCCATTCAGCCAGCCAGGCATCAACCCCCGCATACACCTACACACCCACCTACCCACCTACCTACTCGTCTATCTCCTCACTGACCCACCCACCCATGTACCCACTTACTCACCCATTCACATTTTCACCCACCCACACAATCCATCTACTCAACCCCCCACCTGCCCATCCTTCCTGCCATACACTCATCCATCCATCCATCCATCCATTCACATGCTCATCCTACCAACCCATTCAACCACTAACCCACCAACTCACCAACCTTGAACCAATCCATCCACCCAGCCACACATTGCACACAACCCTCCACTTGTTCATCCGCTCACCCATGCCCACCCATATATCACTCACTCACGCACCCTCTCATCGCTTCAGTAATCCATCCACTCATGCCCCCATGTTATTGCCTACCCTCTTAGGGTTGACCAAAAAGAGAGTACAGACTAGTACTTCAGCGTGGTAACTGCGGTCTTGCCCCGAGTATAACAAACGGTCGTTATCGCTGTATCTAGACTGAAAGTTGTGTTAACTACAGCTATAATGACCACACACTATTTGGGGGAAGACGGTAGCTGGGAAATTTTACCCGGGCCATGTGGCAGCATGTGAAAGGTGATGTGCCCTGTAGGAGGGTCTCAAATGATGTTTGTGTGGGCGTGTGTGTTGCTACTGCAGCTGTGCAGAGGGGAAGGTGGATATCATGACCGGTATATTTCCACTTCTCACTACTGTGTTGCTGATGCAGTGGTTAAGGTATCTGGCTGTTGAGCCCAAGATCGCTGGCTTGATTCCTTGCAGAATCGACCAAAGTACAGACTAGTTTCAGTGCGGTAACTAGTTGGGAAAGTGTTCGTGGATCAGGTGGTCGGGTGTGAAGGGCCATGTGCCCTGTAGGAGGGTCTCAAGTGATGTCGTGTGGGGGAGTCTGTGTTCACATTGCAGCCGTGCTGAGGTCGGGCGGATATCACAACCTTTATGATTTCACTTTTGACACCCATGTCACGGTTGCAGTGGTTAAGTTACATTGCCGTTGATCCCAAGATCGGCTAGTTTTTGTACCCAAACCAGGTGGCTGTGTGTAGGGCATATGTTCTGAGAACGTTCTTGAGTGATGTTGTGAGGGGCATTGTGTACTCATGCTGCAGCTGTGCAGTATTGAGTAATGGTTCCACTTTTGAACTCCCCCATCATGGTTTCGGTGGTTAAGACATCTGGCTGTTGAGCCCGAGACCACCTGTTCGATTCCTTAAAGGGTTGCCCAAAAAAAAGTATTATTCTTCCCCCCACCTGCCCATCCATCCATCTATTCACTCAGCCACTCACCCATCTATCCATCCATCCATCAATTTATTCACCTATCCATACAGTCACACATTCCTCCACCCATCCATCCACTCACCCATGTCCACCCATCCATTGGATCACTCACAATCAGCCCTCCATCCATCCATCCACTCATGCACCCACTCACTTGCCAATCCCTTCTCCTACCCATCACCTAGTTCATTCATCCACCCATCCACCCACACACCTAGTCACTTGGTTCCACATACCTCCGTCCATCCATCCACCCATGCAGACCACCTACCCTCTCACTCACCCACCCAACCCTCACTCCGCGCATACATTCTCTCAATTGCCATCCACCCATGCACTCACGTACCCACCCAGCCGCCCACCCACCTACTTTACTCATCCGTTCCTCCACTCATTCATCATCCCGCCACTCCCCCTACACACCCACACACACACAAGTCCGTCCATTCACCCACCCACTGACCTATCCATCCACTCAACCAGTCACTTACCTACCGACATTTAACTCACCTATCCACTACCCACCCATCCCACTACCCATCCATCCGCTTACCCACCCACCCACCCATCCCTCCTCCCATCCATCCACTCACCTACCCACCAGCTGACCCACCCATACCTCTGCCAATCCATCCACTCACCCACCCAGCCATTCATGCACCTCTCTCTCCACTCATCCGTACAGTCACACATCGACCCACCCACCCCTCCACCCCTCCACCATGTCCATTGCATCCATCAACTACACTACCTACCTCTCCTCCCATCCTTCCATCCCTCCACTGATCCACCAACGACCCACACATATGCCAATACATCCATACATCTGTTCATCTATCCATCCATCCCCCCACCCCTCCGTCTATCCCTCCGTTTGTCCTTTGTCCTTCGACCGTTCATCCGTCGGTCCGTTCGTCTGTGCGTCAGCCCCTTCATCCGTCTGTCCGTTTCATCCCTCTGTCCACCCATACGCCCATGTTCATTGATCTGCCTGTCTGCCTGTCCATCCGTCCCTCCCTCCCTCCCATCTAACCCATTCCGTCCAGTTGCATCCATCCATCCATCCATCCATCCGTCCGTCCGTCCGTCCGTCTGTCCTTCCATCCGTCCATCCATCCATCCATCCATCCATCCACCCATCCATCCATCAGTCTGACTGTCTGTCTGTCTTCCTTCCCCTACCATCCTATACTATTAGCCATCAGTCCTTCCATCCATCCACTCTTGCCTGCAAGCCTCCTCTCCTACCAGGCTGACTTACATCCCTTCCTTAACCACGTTGGTACCTCCCTTCCCTTCCTACCTTCTGTACCTACTTAGCCATCGATCTCGCCTAGCTATCTTACCTACCCCACCCACTGACATATCTGCCTGATGTATCTTGTTCAACTTACCCTACCCCCCTTGTCTTCCTACCTATGCGCCGACGTATCTACCCACCTATTTGCCCACCGCTCTACCAACCATACTCCACCTACAAACTGGCTTACTGACCCACCACCCCATCCCTTCCTACCTTCTGTACCTATCTATCTCGCCTAGCTATCTTACCTACGCCACCGACCGACATATCTGCCTGATGTGTCTTGTTCAACTTACTCTACCCACCTTGTCTTACTACCAATGCGCCGACGTATCTACCCACCTATTTGCCAACCGATCTACCAGCCCACATAATCTACCCTACAGACACTTACTGACCTACCTCTCCACCTACATACCACCCCACCGACCCACTACCACCCCTGCCGACCTTCCCACCTACTCACTTGTCAAAGTAGCGACATGCCTACCTGCCAACATCCTAACCTCTATACCCACACAGTTACATACCTAAACAACTTCCTTCCTACCCACCCATTCATGCCTCCTATCAATCTATACAACGGTCTAGTCAGCCAATACACCTAGCCTACTGGCCCCTACCTACTTACATACCTACCCACCTACCCACCTACCCACCTCCTATCCACATCCTGCACACCAACCCAGATATATACCCACCTAGTTACCAATCCACTTACCTATCCAGACATCTATCTACCCACTTATACCCTCCGAGTCATTCACCTACCTGCTTGTCGTACCTCTTTGCATGTCTCAATATCCCATATCTGTAAATCTGTAAAGGGCTCTTCTCATGCCAGTGAATGTAGTGATTAATTATGGAGATGAGTCAGATGACCACATTTCAATGAGTTTAGTTAATTGTATCCATCCATCCTTCCATCTCTCTC